AATTGTAATTTTTTAACATCATTCATGTTTAAACGTTAATGTTAGAGCATAAGCATAGAAGTTTAATACAAAATAAAATTATAATTATTCACTAAATTGTTATATAGCTTAACCTATTAATGAATTGCATATTTTAGAAAAAAAACACTTTTGAATTAAATGACTGACAAGAGAAAGAACGTTTGAAGAAGTTGAGCTAAGGAAAATAAGTATCAAGAAAAAATTTTATTTTGTTATTTTTTTAATTAAAATTATAGCTGCAACTAGATGATTTTTTACTATTTGATTTAGATGATGTATTAGAAATCTTATGGTTTAATGACTTTTTAGTTTTTAATAGTTATTACAAATTATTGTAAATGTTAGCCTGATATGACACCAATGTTCGATCATCTATTTATGTCTTGATAATTCTTTAACCCAAATCGGATTATAATATTCATATTCGAAACATTTTCAAATTGCTCTAACTTTTTACTTATTACAACAGATGTCATATTAATTAAAATTTCCAATTAGTTACAAAAAAGTAAGGAAATATGTTGATCTTAGATTAATCCTAGTGAAATTAAAACTTTTTAATCACTCAATACCTACAATAACAGGGTAATACTCAAAGATGAATATCTTTAATAATTTTATTATATCTTTGACACATACATTTTTTTCTCAATGCACATAAATAAATTCTCATAACGGTAGTTTGGGATCACTTTTGTTTTTTATTTTGCATTTTTATTTTATTTCTATGTTTTGAAATAAATTAAAATATGTTTGATTTATGTAGTGATTTTTAAAACATTCAAAACTTCTTTTATATCTTTTAAGAGTTTGTGTTTTTCAAAATCATGTGATTTGTTTTTAAAAATTTAAAAATTAAAAACATATAAAAATTATACCAACCAAACATATTTAAAAAAGAAAGTGATGCCAAGCTGGCACATAATAATTAATCATATGCCTTCTTAAAATCAAAAGTAATTATAAGATGTTTTTCCTACTCAAAACTATTAATTTTCTTAAGCAAAAATCATTTTCATAATATATCTTTCAAGCATAAAAATAAATTGATTCTTCAAAAATGACATAATTAATCCAATTTTATGCTCTACTATTCTCCGCCACAAATTTAATGTATGTCTCTTAAGCTTGATGTCTTCATAATAGCACAACATTAACATCACCTTTTAAAATTTTGGTTAACCAAACCACTATGATGTATTTTTAACTCTACAAATCTCAAAAAGTATCTCATATGAATAAAAACACAACATGCAACTTCTTTAGAACTAATGCATGCAATTTGGCCTAATAGTTAAAAGTTTTCTGTTTCAACTAAAAGGTCCTGGGTTCAACGCCTTGCATATGCGGTCTGCGTGTTTACATGTGCGAGGAAGGAAAAAAAAACTTCTTTAGAAATAACCCCACTTTTTTTTTTAATCAATGTATAATATACCACTTTTTTTTTTGTTATACGTTATAAACTTAATTTTTTTTCTTAAAGCTATCATTCAATAAATATCAAAATAACAATTCCAACTTTAATTAATCTCTTTACCTTTAACTAAATCTAATTGTCTCCGGTTGTATTGTATCTAATGTAATTAAAGTCACTGGATCTCTTCTCTATGCTTAACTATTCTATGGATGTCATTCACTCACTCTTTACTACCAGAACTATGATATAAATTAGCAAAAGCTGTAGCTTTTTCTATTCTCAGTACACTCAAGAAGTTTTCTAATTTATATAATCATTATATACCTAAATAATTTTTGCCATTTTTTAAAAACACATTCCATTTTATATAATACTTTTTTAATCCCCTCACTTTATAAAATATTTTATTACTGTGCAAGTTATTCCTACAACTTACTACTAAGCTCCTAAAATTTCTACAACAAATTTCCTAATAACAATCATATCCCACATTAGGTTTGGCTTAATAATTCAAAATTATTTACCTTATAACATATATAATAACTTCTCACCACTCGATTATTTTGGTTATATATTTTTTTTTATATTTTTTATACATTTAAAATATACTTTTACAAATACTAAATTATGTTGTGTGGCAAAAATATCTTCTGAAATCACCTTAAAATCTTTATAAGATTTTTTTAATCTTTTTCTATGCAAGGCAATTTATTTATGATTTGACAACTCTATTTTTACTAAGCAATTATAAGATGAAGTAATAATCATAAAAATATAAAACAAAAATCTACGAGAACATCTAAAATCTATAAACCACCTTTCATAAATTATCCCATGCACATTAGGACTAAAGACTATCAAGATAGTGTGGTACCATTATTAGTCAAAAGCAGCTCAAAATAGTAAACAAGGTCAAATCTTTCCCCTATGTTCATGGAATTTGGATATAGTGGCGTAAACAAGTCTAGCTTGAGCGAGTCTACTGTTTGTTAGTGTTCGACAAGTTCAATTTTTTTTTTTTTCAATAGATTTATGTTTGAAATAGCTCAAGAATAGGTTATCAAGTTTAGCTTGATTCAAATTTGTTTGTTCATTTTAGCTCATGTTTGACTCTAATTTAGCTCAAATTTTTTGAAATAGCTCAAATTTTTTAGTGTTCGACAAGTTCAAATTTTTTTTTTTTTCAATAGATTTATGTTTGAAATAGCTCAAGAATAGGTTATCAAGTTTAGCTTGATTCAAATTTGTTTGTTCATTTTAGCTCATGTTTGACTCTAATTTAGCTCAAATTATTTTTAAAAAATTAAATTTAACACATATTTCTAAATAAAGCATAAATAATTAATGTAAAATATTATAATAAATATTAATTATTTAATTAATTAATTTGAGACAAAAAGAGCTGAATTTAAAAAAGCGCTGAAACTAGATCAAACAAAAACGACTCTATAAATCAAGTTAAAAAAATTATTCGCGTTCAGCTTGCTTGCTTACCAAACGAATCAAAAACAAGCTACTTAGCGAGCCAACCACCAGATATTCCCAAATAATGATCCTTTTCACTGCCCTACTTGGATAGCTATTTTTTTCCTTTTTCAATTCAAGGTTTCCTTAGCTGTAATTACTTCTACTTTAATCCCTCCTCTGCTCCACAAGTTGGTTCGTTCCAAAGTAAATGCTGTAACCTACCACTTTTTACTATTAATCCTGATCAAAGACGTGGAAAACAGGAACTATCAAATATCAAGCAATTAAAGAAAGAATAAGAAGCCTATGCATTTGAGTAAATGAATGCTACTTAAGTACTAAGATCTAGGGCGCATTTTATTCATATTACTGCCTCCTAGTGCGCAATGCAGCAGCACCAGCTACCCCATTGTAGATGGCACAATTTGGTCACAGCATTCTAACTTCCCCACAAAAAATAGTTTAAAAATACGGCCTTCTAGACATCAATCGGATGGGGCATTGTTTGGGAAGCCATGCCAGATGCACTCCTAGAGCATATTTAGACTAGCTTTCTATTTTGATAAAAATTGCTTTATTTAAAAAACACTCAAAATAAATTTTTGATGTTTTAAACGTTTTCAAAATGGTGTTTTTCACCACCCATGGACAAATCTCTTCCAATGCTAGTTTCCACTACATCATTGACATCACCACCTCTGTTACATAAAGTTCGCTGACCGCAACTGCTAGAAAATAATCCGTTCTCATCCCAAACTGAGCAAAATACGGCTATTTCATCATCAACATTCAACGCGCGGCAGACACAACCTCACTTCAACATCCTCTTTACTCCACAAAATGTAGCATTTCATCTTCCATGGCAGCATCAACAACTACAATGATTGCACCTACAAAGCAAGCCCCCAATTCCATTCTCATATTTTCATGTTTATTCAATCAATCGTGAATTCTTCACATTGGCAAGTAAACTTGCACTAGAATTCTACATATGAAACTAGAATGGGATCCCAATTAGCTTAGAAGCAAAGTGGCATGAATGATCCTGTGCTAGCAAGTAGTCATCAAGCACAGATCATTCGAGGTTAGTTTTTCTTTCCTCTATCTATGATTCCTACTCAAATATAGTTGTTGATTTAATCGTGTGCTTAGCGGTTGAGATTGGAACTGTGCCTGAAAAACCTAATAATTCCCGCAAAGGTGACTAGGATGAAGGTGACGATATCAATGAAAGGAGAGAGCACTGAACACCATCTATGTGATTTCATACATATTAAGAAATGTTCATTTGTATTTAAAAATAATAAATGCATCAAAATACCACACATAAAAAAAAACTAAACAAACTAAAAGCAAATTAAAAGTGATTCAAAATAATACCTTAGCGTTATAATGATTGATTGGGAAAAAATGTATTCACATCCATTGCTGATACTCATGTTCCTATTACATGTGCTTAATCTATCGTCTCTTCAAAAAAACCCAATCAAAACCCGACCAGCCAAGGTGGATTAGAAGGGTTAAATCATATTTTAAAAAAAAAATGAACAAATAAGGTATAGCATTAAAGCTATGTTTGAATCTATTTTATTTTCAATTTGTTTAGTTCTTTTATTTTGCCTAAGTTTTCACATAAAACAAATATTTATTTAGAATATCCACTCATTTTTCAATTTACCGAGAAAAAAATTAAAATATACTTGGCAATAAAAACACTAATGTAGAATGATTATAAGACGTAATACAAGTGTAGCATCTATTAAAGATTTGAAGATAGGGTACTAACAAATAGACTTAGATGGTTTTAGCATGTACAGAAATGAATAGATAAAATTATGTGGAATAAGTAAGTGAAAAATTAAATAAATAACATAGATAAAGTTGTAAGAAATTATTGCATAAAATAGATTAACATCTCAAACTATACTTATTAAGAATGTATGGAGAATGAAGATTCATAAAGCCAATTACAAATAATTGGAAGAGGGCTAACAATTTTGATGATGATGAGGTCAAGCTTTTCTATAAACTAAAAACACAGTTTATATGTACATCAAGTTACATATTATTCCAGTGAGCTACGTGAGATTCATACCTGCCAATAGCCTTTCATCTTTACCCTTTGTGTTATGTCAGAGGTTCTTAACCTTTCAGTTCGAAGAAGAATTCCTGCATCATTCCTGCATAAAACACCATATTCGCCAAATATATGAGGCCTCCAATCAAACCAAAGAAAAAACAAACACCTTTTATACAGGTGGAGTAATGAAAAGTAAAATTTAATAGATAGTATACAAAACATTGCAAAATATGATTAGTAATAAACAATGTTGTTCTGACGCAATCTACTGGCAGTTACTACCATTCCCTCCACCACAAGGCTATCTTTGCCATTCCTAGTAGTAATTAGGAATAGCTCCTTCATTTTGAATATCTTTCATTATCTTCAGAGCTATTGAGCATTTGCAGAATATTTATGCTTGTTCTTTCGCATAAATCATAAATCACCAAAGTAAAACTAAAGGAAGGATAAAAACCAGTAAATTAAACAACAAAGAAGATATTTCAAAAGGGTTTTCTTATTTTGCTTAATGATGCCTTGGTCATTACTTGAAAGAACCTCAGACTTGGTTCAGTTTTAACTTGTAACTTTATGAGGCTTAGAAAACATCATTCACTAAATATGTTCTGGTTTTCCATCCGATGGAAATGCACCTTTAATTCAGATAATTATCACAGATGATGAAAAAAATTTTCATGAAAAAAACTACTAAACACACATTATCGGTCAATTTAGGATCACTCAATTTATGTGAACCAAAAAGGGCGCCTATATTGTATGAAGCTAAACCCACCAATGTGGGGAACTAAGAGAAATTTTTTATTGTTAGGCCCAAAAGTGTTTGTGAGTAATACCATAAACTTACTAAACAACACAGTTTAAGTTTGAAGAAAATAAGAGATAAAAGGAAAAATTACTAAAGAGAGAAGCTTTAACAATCCTATTAGATTTCTACCAAACCAATGTGACATGAGGCTACCGAAATATGCTGAGCTAATCCTTTGACTCTCCATTTACAGGTTTATATCAAGATTCAATCCTACAATAACAGCTAAAATTAAGAATTGCGAGTACAATTGTTTTGCAAAGCTTAATAATTTTTTATTGCAAATAAATACATCTTGTTGGCTTACAGTTGTCTGGATACTTGGAGACTTCTATAGAGTTGTGCATTGAAGCCAACTTCAATAGGATGAATTCCCTTGATGGGTCCCCTTGGACTAGTTTGTTGATTACTAAAGCAGGTTCACTTTGAAGAATTGGACAAGAGTATCTCTTAAACTTCTCAGGTTTCTGAACTTGGTTTAGGTTCATAACGTTACTTAATTTACTTGACCTAGTTGACTATGGCACGTATTAATTCCTTGATTGTCTTAACTCTTTGAAGAGGTTACAAAAAGGGAGTATCCACACAACTCAGGGCAGATTGAGACATTGATGGCATAGATTTAATTATTTTTGCATCATAGATGCTACCATCAAAGAACAGTTGCAAACATTGTCCTAAGGGTTCATTTTAAGGTTCTATATTGATCTTCTTCCTTTTTCGTCTTTTGTGATAAAGCAAATTGTTCATTGCTGAGCTATAGAAGTTCAACAACCTCCAGCATGATGATTTCTCTACTTTAGATACTATTTCTACCCTCTTACGAAAACATAAGTAAAAATGTTTGCAAGAGTGAGAGTATATGAAAGCAATGCTACGAATAAAACTGCCTTTGAAGAAAGAAAAGATTAAACCCACGAAAGCAACTAAAGATGCTTTAGATAAGGAACATCAGTTAATGTGTGGCTTCTTCCAATCTTGTCCCACAAAGATGAATCCCAAAGAAGCTGCTAGAAAGGAGGTGACAGAGAAAAAAAACTTCATTTGTTGATGTTGTCACTGATGGCGAAAGAGGCCAACATGCCTTCAAAAGAGTATGTAAATGTTAATTTGGAATTCAAAATGAGTTGTTAATATTGTTCAAGAAGCTGGAACTGAAGCACGACATGCTTCTGAAGGAACGAAGAGTGCTTCTTTCTATACCCTGAAGTCAACATGGTTTTCTAAATTGAAATGATTAGAATCCTTGAGATAGATCATTCTATGCAGCGTTCAAATGCCGAGTCATTTGCTCTGTGTGTGACTTAATGAAGTGGTTGATTAAAAATGCCTAAGTTGCCATGGAGGAAAATCTAGAAGCTGCTAATAAGGAAGTCACGCTAGAGGCAAATTGCTAAGAGTTGTGAAGTTGATAAGGAAGCTGACAGGACTAGTATAGATATTCAGTCTACTGGAGTCACTACTAAGGATGAGAAAGCAAGTTTAAGCCTATCATGAACATTATAAGGTGAATAGTTCTTCTCCAAATACCCAAAGAGAAGAAGCAAACGTAATGATCTCAGCCAAGAGGTTGGTAGTTTTACTAGTTAAGATTTCCATATTGTACAACATTGTAATTTCTAATCAAATCCGAGCAAAAGTAGATAAAGTGAAATTTGTTGAGGATTTAGTTGTCCTCAAAAGTTTTTTTTTAATGAAAATGTCAAGAAGATGCTCCAAGAGATTGACAGCTTGAAAACAAAACTCGTCCTAATGTGAAAAGTCATTGAATCATCTAGGTCAAACCAATTGCTTGACGCAGACAAATTTGTTCTTAACAATTCAAATTAAGCTTGAGCCTACTCACAGAGCACAAAGAAATTAAAAATTAAGTTGTCAAGCTTGAAAACAACAGAAAAACTAAGAACCAAGAAAGGTGAGCTTCTACTGACAAATGAACTCCAAATATTATGTTAGTGAATTTTTTGCCTCATTGATGTTTTTTTGCTGTGTGACTTAATGAAGTGGTTGATTAAAAATGTCTAAGTTGCTATGGAAAAAAAATCTATACACTGCTAATAAGGAAGTCACATTAGAGGCAAATGAGGATGAACTAGGGTCTTTTGGCATTTTCATTTTTTTACTTGCATTAAACTTTCTTTTTACAATGTAAGGAAGTGTATTGATAGGCAAAATGTAATTGACTTACACAAATTTTTGAAATGTAAAAAGCAATTCCTAAAATATTCTGAAGCAATTTGAATGTTACTTTAATGTCAGAATATACTCTAAACTTAAAATTTGAATATGCACAATAACTTTTAAAGTTGATGTCTTTCTTTCTTTATGTACTAATGTCAGATAGAAATGGCCAAATAAATCAATGAATAAAACAAGCAAAGTGGACTTCTTGAAAAAAACGAGTGAAAAAATGCCTTTAGATATTAGAATGTTGTCTTCAAGTTTTAATCAAAGCTTTTATATTTTATATATTTTTATCGGATAATTTGGTGCCTTGGATGGGCCTTATCTTTGGCCAGAGATTTCACCCTTGCAAAGAAAATCTTCTTTGAGACTCGCCACTAGAAAGGACTCATCTATCTTTCAATGTGAATCTTGTCATAAAGGAAAGATTTTGAGTTTAGAGATTGACTTTTGATGCTTAAATACTTTAGGATTTGGTCCAATGCTTGCTGTAGTTGATGGTATCAAAGCCGTGAGAACTTTAAAAAAAATCATAATGAATTATTGAGTTGATACGTCTAAGTAGTAAATTGTTAAATAAGTTCAAACAACAGATTGCTGAATAATTTTCTGATATTATTCCTTCAAGCCCATCTTAAATATAAACTTTTTCCCTAAATTAAAATTTCTTCTTTAAGTTGCGAGTTAAGATAACTAAGTTGAGTGCAAATTGTCTATGATTGAGTTGCAATACTACTCTCTTTACTTTGTAACATAACCCTAAACACTTTCGTTCCTTAAGTTAGTCTGTCATTTAAACTAGTTAAGCATAAATATTAGAAATTTTGTTTTTTTGAATGTGATCAAAGTTTTGAATATGTGAATTCTAATCATGAATTTTGGCTTATTTTAAGAAGAATTATCAATCGTTGGCTTCAACATATAACTTTTCCAATAGTTATGAAATACAGGTAAGACAAGTTCCCCGAGATCTTTATTGGATGAGTTCCCCACATTTTTTGAGATGAATCCCTAAGTTTGTTTAATACTTGTCAAAATTTTTAATTTAAAATCCACAAAATGTGATGCCAGTGAAGTACATATACACTTAACCCTCCTTAGACCTATGATTTAATGCTTAAGACATTAGATTGATAAATTTTGTTGCATTAATGACTTGAATTTGAATCTTACATGGGTATGGGAAAAGTGTGAAAGTGGAAGAAAGCATGCGAAATTACCTAGTGCAGCTAACTGACCAGTTTGAGGTGAAATCAATGTAAACAGGAGCAAAACAGTACTTTAGTTGGCACCTAAGCAACACTTAGATCCCAGGCGCAATCTAAAAGGCCCCCAAACCCAAGAGCTCAACACTCAAGAGTCAACTCCAAGCATCAATTTGACACATAGGAGCCAGCCTATTTCAACCTTGCAAAAGTAAGAACTTGATGTCTAGGTGCCGGACCAAGCAACTAGGCGCTGTGCAGCAATTTGAATTTAATGGCACATTAAAACTTTGCCTATTTCGGAAACAAGTTGATGCGACTCTATTTAGGGATTTAAGGAGGATTTGAGGGACTTTTGTCAGAGTCCAAATGAGATACTTGGTGAATTCTTTTAGGGTTTCTCAGGAAGATCCTTTTGAGGTAGCCATTGGAAAAGTTCAAAGGTCGAGTCAAGGTGAGGTAGATGAACGTTATAGGAGATTCACGAGGCTTCACTTGAAACTTCCTATTCCTTTTCCATTTTTATCAAGTGTTGTAATCATGTTTATGTTTTACTTGCTTTGCATTGTATTCATCCTAAGCATGTGCTAAATTCTCTTTCTAAAGTTTAGATGGAACCATGATTATTTGTGTTATATTCGATTTTCAATAAAAAGTATTTGAGTTTTGTTTTGTTCTTTTTTAAATTGTGATTTTATTTGAACAATTGAGTGTGTAGATACCAAAAGGTCCATCTAAAATCGAGAGAAGATTGGAATCATCGTGAGCCAAGAATTATGAAATGATAGATCATAAGCTAGAGATAACTATGTAGAACACGTGTGACCCCTATTGTGATCTAAAGAGCGTCAATAACATTTTTTTACATTAAATCTATCACTGAGGGAGGGAGAGGTTATAGAA